CCCCATACCTATACGTGGTCACTCCCTATTCCCCATTCCCCCTAGACCATGGAAACCACTGACTACTTTCTATCTCTATATATTTGCTTATTCTGAACATTTCATATAACAGAATCACAGAATATGTGACCATTTGCATCTGGCTTTTTTCACTTGATATAATGTCTTCAAGATTCATCCATGTTATAGGCTACATTAGTACTTCATTTTTATGGCTGAATAATATTCCAGTATATGTATATATCACACTCTCTTTATCCATTCATCAGTTGATGGACATTTGGGTTGTTTCTATTTTTTGGCTATTATGAATACTGGTGCTATAAACATTTACATACAGGTTTTTGTGTGGACATATGTTTTCATTACTCTTGGGTTTATACCTGCTGTAGAATTGCTGGGTCATATGGGCACACAATGTTTAACCATTTAAGGAAATGCCAGACTTTTCTAAAGCAGTTGCACTATTTTATATTTTATATTTATATAAAATACATTTAAAGTTTATGTATTTAAAATTCCAATTTCAGTTTATATTTTTAATTCCAGTTTCTTCAATCCTCAGAAATCCTTGTTATTATTTGTGTTTTTGAATATAGCCATCCTAGAGGGTGTGAGGTAGTATTCAGTCACACCTAGTTTGCATTTCTTTGATGGCTAATGATGTTGAGCATCTTTTCTTGTGCTTATTGGCCACGTGTGTATCTTCTTTGGAGAAATCTCTATCCGAATCCTCTGCTTATATTAAAATTAGGTTATTGGTCCTTTTATTATTCAGTTGTAAGAGTTCTTACATATTCTAGATACTACTCCAGTATCAGATATATGATTTGCAAATATTTTTTTCCCAATCTACCGACTGTCTCTTCCCTCTCTTGATAGTCTTCTTCAAAGTACAGTGTTTCTTAATTTTGGTGAAACTGAATTTACTTTTATTCTTTTGTTGCTTCCATTTTTGGTGTCCTTTCTAACACATCTAACTGCTTAATCCAAGATTATGGAAATTAATGCCTATGTTTTCTTCTAAAAGGTTTATAATTTTTCCTCTAATATTTAGGTCTTTGATCTATTTTGAGCTGATCTGTGAATGTAGTATGAGATAGAGATCCAATTTATTTCTTCTGCTCCATGCAAAAGGATATTCCAATTGTTCTAGTAACATTTGTTGAAAAGATTCTTCTTTACTCCATTGAATTATCTTGGTACCCTTGTTGAAAATCAACTGAACATAAATATAAGGATTTCTTTCTGGTAGAGAAATACGCTTATATTATATTTTTGGCTACCTCTTCTCATTTGCTGAGTTCTCTACCTCAGAAACCCTAATTATTCTTACACTAGATCATCTTTATCTTCATCTTTTATTCTGCATTCATTCTCATGCCTTTCTTCATGTCAATAATTAGATTTTCAATAGTGTCTATTTTGTACATGATTCCTTCCAATTAATCCCCAAATAACAAGGGTCCTCAACTTCCTTAGATTTGCAACTTCTTTTTCAATTTTGTCATCTTATTATCTGGGTTTTTGTCTTATTGAACTCACGTTTTTGTTAAGTTGTTCTGTAGCGTAAAACATTTGTGAGGAATTTCCTTCTATTCCATGAGCTTGGCTTTTCTCCTCACTTGCATTCTTTGCCATTGTATCTTCTACGTGCCATATTATTTTCTCTTTGTTTAGTTTTGTTTCAGTTGGCTGTTGTATGTTTGCACAGTTGCCGTGCTGTTTCTCTGCCTCCTGTCTGTGCCTCTTATTATTGAGGGTGACTTCTTCATGTTTCCCATTACAGAGGAAGCCTGTTTGTTTTCCTGACTCTGCTACAGTTTGGGGCTGGAGGAGACCGTGTTATATCCCATCTTCCATGAGGGATTGTGAAGTTTAGGACAGAGTTCAGCTATAGTGGGTGGACTCGTCATTAACATCCCTCATTTTAGCATCTACCCTTTCTTCCGAGATGGTATTAAAGATCCTATTCCAGGGACAGATGACTATTTGGGGTATGTCTGCTATTCTCTTGTGAGGTACCTTTGGGCTGTGGACAGTTTCCTCAACTCAGTGAGGCACCCTTGAGCCTTCCCTTCCATCTCAGAGAGACAGTTCAGTGTTCATACTCTCCTGTTTTCTCTCTTGTTCTAGTCTTCCTCATTCAGAGAAGAGCAGTAAAGGCCTCCATTCAGTTTGCTTCTCCCCACATTTGGGGGATTTAGTGAGATATCTCAGAACTGCACTGACACCACAGGCTACCTTCTGAAAGTTAGAAGTGGAACAAGGACATTTTTCTTGTGTCCACCTTGTTATTATCTTATGTCCATGTTGATCCAGAATCTCCTTCAAAGTTTGGATTTCAAATATAGAACCTCCATCAAGTGCACTTAAAGAAGATTGCTTTTTTCCAATCACCACTGCCAAATGCCTAATGTTAGTTTGCCCGTTACCCTTGGTGAGTGACTACGTATGTCTGTAGCCCTGCAGTATTTTCAATCTTTGGTGCTGTGTATCTCACTCATTTGCTCCTCTGTTCTGTTACTGCCCTAGAAATGGGAGAATAAAAAAAATTCCTTGGATTTTTGATAGAAAGCAACTCCCAGGTTGGGTCCAAGGTGAAAATGGATCCCTTCCTGGATTAAAAACATGAATGCTGCTACAATTCCTGGCTGTGAATGCTCATAGAGTCACTGCTGAACCATTTTATGTCAATTAATTCTGTGGGATATACCCCCCTTTTTAATTTATTCATTCTTTTCTTCCATTTCTACTTATAACCATCCCTGCCAACTATCTACATTTCACTGTTAAACTGTTTATATTGTATTGGTGATTTTAAAGTTTCCTTGCATTACCTATGGGCATTTGGCTGAAAAGCATTGTCTCTATTTTACAAGTAAATATATTATAGAACAAATCCAGAGACCTTGTATTGGTAATTGGTAACAAAAATGCTGATGCCTTAGTGGCAGTGTTTATAAGAAAATGTTAATTTTTAGGGTAAAAATTTCATTAGAAATTGCTTTGGGAAATATATTAGCTAACATTTACAGTGTTTTTAAAGGAGACAAAAGATTGCCACTAAAAAAAAATATTATTGAAAGCATCTTCACTGAATTCCTCCATTTAAAAAATACCCCATTTGTATTTGTTAAATACAAGTCCTTCCTTTAATGATGTCTCCAGCCATGCCTGACATACTTTGAGGCCCAGTGGATAATTCTGGCCAGGAAGTATCACTGGACAATAGGCAGTGCAGTTAGAGGGAAAAAATACTGTAGACTTGCCAGTGGGGGAAACATTTACAATAAATATTAGGAGAGTGACAAAGAGGCTTTCCAAGGGATGTTCATATTTCTTGATTTATGTAATTTGATATTTAATGTATATAGAAATCCAATAATATCTCTAAAACCCCCACTCACACCAGTATTTCCTCTACTTTAGACTAAAGGTGCCTGGGAGGCCAGGGATTTCCCATATTTCTTTCCTTAATGTTTAGACAGGGCTATGTCTCGAGCAGATATCCAATGAATACACATTACTACTAATGACTGAGCTAATTTATTAGTATAGAGTAATTCCAGGGGTTTCCCTCCTGGTTTGTCTGGTTCTAAGCCTTTAAAACCTGTTTATATGTCAGAAAATCAGCATTACAAACTCTCTGGAGCAAATCATAAAATATTAGTTGGATACATGTTTAAAAACTCACCTTTGGCAGTATAAAATTATTGCTCAAGTGATCTTTTTTTAATCTTAAAGAAAACAGTCAAAGCAGGTGTCATTGGTTAAGAGTCCAGTTGATCAACACGTTTCACAATCTGTACCAACATCACGGGAAAGGAGCCTGGAACATCACTCTAAAACTATTCAGCACCAAATTTCCACAACTGCGTTTGTACAAAACGCAAATGGGTTTTTAGCGAAAGCCTTAATTTTCCTTTGCTTGTAAATCAATTCCTCCAGGATCAAAGTTCTGGCTGCCACAGATACCGTCCTTCTAGATACAGAAAGCACCTAAGGGCCACTTGGTGCAACATCCACCTGGCAGCGGCCAGAGGGTCCTCTTAGGTGGCAGGTACATTGGACATAATTTTTAACTAACGAATGCAAGCGTTTCAAGTTGTATTATTCTTCTCTAAAAGCCTAAGAGTTGTTTTCCTTACCCACACTTGAACCCCAGTCTCTTTCCTGATGAGACCACCTGTTTGCTCATCTTTCACAGGGCGAGGGAACCAGAACACTTTCGATGCAGCGTCCTCTTTGCCCTAAGAGGAGGGCGCTGATTGGGCACCCGGACCTTGCCTCCCCCAGCTGAGGTTCCAGTTCTGGACACCTGCCTCCTTTCGGATTCGGTGTATCCCGCAACAGCCTGAGGGGGCCCAACACATTCCTCCTGGCTGGCTCTGGGAGGGACCGGACGCTGTCGACAACGCAGCAGCCGGCAGCATAACAGCCGG